TTGGGCCTGGTCTACCTTTAGCAAATTCTTTATATTCTTCGAATCAATCAAATGTTAAATTAAACTAAAGCATATTTTTGACGGCCTATTTCGTTTTTCTGGCTAAACCCCTGCTTGGGTGTTTCTTTACCTATTGTGGGATTCAGGAGGATTTGGTCCCTGGAAGCATAGTTTTAGCCATTTAAATATTTGAAATTATCTTAACCATGGATTGCTTAATTCATGTTTTCAGTGAGTTATTAGTTCAACTACAACTTAAAACTAGAAAGAAGGCTTTTTTTTCTCGCCAGTTGAGGATAATAAAATTGATAGCATTTCTATGATTACAATCATTTTTTCTGTAACATATTGTAAACTCATGCGATTCCTTTTATACAAGCAATTCCAAGTTTTATGTAGATTCTTGCGATTTTTTTCCTTTATTTTTTTATCTTTAAAACCATAGATCCATTGTCAAATCGTATAGTGCAGGGTGTACCTATTTTAAAGATGGATTCTCCCCTGAAAACAACAACAAAAAATCATAAAAAATAATTTTCAAATCAACTTTACTCACTTATATACAAATATTTATTTTATGAAAATAGTAAAACACATCCAGGGACTAGAAGTGTTTTTACCATTTTTCACTGCAAAATTCTGGGTAAATATTTTGAATACACAAATTTTTATGTTCAATTTAATCATTTTTGAAAAATATATGCAAAAATCAGAAAGTCACTTGACCTACCTGAAAAGACATTCTAATATTAAAAAGAAAAATTATTATTAACCAATGAAATTAAGAGGGAAACTAGCAGTCAACACAGGAGGAATTTACATGAAGCTAGATCTGGGCTAGCCTCACACATTAATAGAAGTTAGGTACTATACTCTACATAAACAAAACAAATACATGCTATACTAGTCACCTGGTAAATAACTTGCTTTTCCTGTTATCGTTAATAATCGTTGTGTGTGGGTAAACTGAATGCCCACCACCATAACAGGAAGTGAGCATCTTGAACGCAGGTGTCCCAAAAGGCCACGTCTCATGCTTGGTTAATGTTAAAAACGTATTGCTGGCATGCTTTGTGCATTGTGACCACCTGTATCTGTATGGTAGTTCCTAGCGTAAATGAAGAGAACTGATGATGAAAAATTGTCACCCTTTGTCCCATGTAATTATGATATATTTTCAAGAGAAAATATTTAATTAGAAATAGACAGACAGCTTAAATTAAGTTCACAAATTAAGTTCAACACACTTTCGTTCACAATATTCTCGCCTGACAGTGAGCTTTTGTGGTCGTGAAAATGAATTAAAAACCCTATGTGTGCAGCCTGCCAACCATTTATGGCCAGAAAAGACCTTGCATTTTACGGCCTGACACCTACCCTCTGTAAAAATTTATATTACAACTGAGCATAAAACAGTATAAAAGCAGTGTGTGACGTTTTTTGGAAGTGCACTGAAGATATAAAAGTTTATTAATCATACTTTAATAATAAAAAAAAAAAAGAAATATATATTAACTTATACTTCTCTATATATATTCCTAATATAAATATAAATGGATTTATTTAGTATTTTTCCTATGTTAATGCACTGCACCTATATTTTTAAGAATAAAAAAGTAATTCATGAAACATATTTTGATAAAAATGCTAAGCCTACTGACTATCAGTATTGAAAACAGCAATGACATGAATTTGAAAGCCATACTGTACTTGACTCAAAACACAGTACAATACTAATAGCAATTGTATTGTACTGTATACTGAGTGTCATTAATGGCACATTATGACATTAGTAACTAGATACCATGGTGTTTGACATGAACAATGCTATAAACTGCCCTAATGAACTTTACTATTTACAGAAAAACAGCAAACTAATATATTATCAACCAATGTATGCCTACTACTATTCAGTTTTCTATTTAACTCATAATTGATATACTTCAATATTTCATCACATTCTGTACACAAAATATCTAATGCAGCTAAGTTAATATACTTTTGTATCATAAATCAAATTTGGTTTATGCCTAATTACCAAGCTTGTTCAGATAAATAACAATAGTAACTAAGTTAGTTTCAATTGTTTTTGTAAATAAATATGTAATTCACTTAACACTGGGCGGACATTGACACATTGTATCAGATTAACCCTAACTCTTGTCATTGTGTCATTTCATATTCTGAAAACTAAGCTTTGACTAGAACTACTGTATGACTAAATCATGCACACCTCAAATGAAATAGCTAACAACGACAAATATCTACCAAAAAGTATAGTTAATGTCAACTTGCAATGATAAAACGTATTATAATATTTGGTATCACATTTACCAGAGTTCAACCCTAAATAGTGTCACAGTCAATTAGCAGTATCTGAATAGGCCTAATATTTATTAGTCGATCGTGATATCATTGTAACTCCCAATGTTATTTTCCTATCCACAACCATGCACTAACTTGGTTTGCATGATCTTTTTTCGGTTTGTGTGCAAAAGGTGAAAACAATCGCGCACCGCAATGTATTCCTTGAATTAATGGACCCTAATAATAAACTAAAGAAACTGAACATTTAACCCTTATGCTGAAAATCGCTGGTGCGTGACATTCTATCATGCCAAATTACTTTTACAAAACTACATAATTACTATACTTCAAATTCAATATTATGTATGAAAAATTAAGGTATTCCTTGAATTAATGGACCCTAATAATAAACTAAAGAAACTGAACATTTAACCCTTATGCTGAAAATCGCTGGTGCGTGACATTTTAGCATGCCAAATTACTTTTACAAAACTACATAATTACATAGCAGAAATTAGTATTTCTCTTTAAATGGAATTTTCACATATTTCTTGAACTCTATACCAAAAAACTATTTATAAAAAAAATAATCCTTATAGCACATATATTCTATATGTGATACTGGTTTGTAAAAAAAATTGTTTTACAATCAGGGAAATGTTTCGTTTCCGCCATCAAATTTGGCCTATTTCTTTGTATAGGCCTAGGCTAGGCCCTAGTCCTACCTCGTCCCCGCTACACCACCGGCGGTATTAGCTTCTTCCACATCATAACCATCACTCTCATCACTTTCACTAGCCTACAGAAACACCATTATAATTCCACAAAAATGTTCCTGGTCTCTATCCACACTATTATCATCAAAAACATTGTGTATGGCTCATCCACAGTATTTCGCTGCTGCGCGGCCATACTGAAACTTTCAAAAATAAGTTGACACTTTTGTTTGATTTATAAAATATTTTTCAATAGAAGTTGTCAAGATTTTTGTTTATTCGAGAAGTTCAAAATGTAAGTAACCCGGAAGCAAAAACAAATGAGCATCAGACAGTATAGAGGGCGAAATCCACGTATACTTGGATTTGACGCACTAGTGCGCCTAGGGCATTCAATGGAAAAATTTTCGCTGTCGCACTATTGTGCCTACGACATAAGGGTTAATAGGAATATTCTAGACCTATTTTAACGACTCAAGGAACAAATTTTGATGTAGGCTTATTATTATTACATTAAGTTCAAAAAACAAATTTCACCTAATTTTATTTATATGAAACAAATCTTGAATTATAGCCTCTTTTCAAACATCCATCTTTTTAAACACCCATCAAAAATATCAAGTAAAATATTTTTCAGCACTGTCATAATGATATTATGTTAAAATGCCCATTGACTAAGATTAATACAGGAAAGGGTAGCAATTCAGTACTATATTATTTATACTGTACATAGTAATTTAATAAACACAGGTGTATGCATATTTTCTTACTGGCAGAAGATTACAAAATAACACAGTATTTGAAAAGGCCTTGCTTGGGGAGAGACCTCCAACTGTTATAATGCCTCAAAGAAATTCATAAATATCAGAAATGTATAGTGCACTTTTATCCTGAGAGACAATTGAATGTACAGTGGCTATGAAACCACCTCCCAGGTCACAGAAAACTGCACACTTTAGGAATTTATTAATAATTTACTTATTATTTACAATGTCTACATTCTAACTGTGTAATTTAACAGCAACTATTGGCAAAACTCTAAACTGTATATTAGTCTATTTGTTCATAATGAAAATAATCAACAGAAAAAAAAGTATCATGGATCAAAAGGAACTAATTTGTTTACAATGAGAAAAAAATAAAGACAGAAATGAAAGTATCTGCTGCAGTGATATACCTTTAAACTTAAAATAATCAAAGTATCAGTAGAGTCTGAGGCTCAGTTGGTCAGTTGTCTGTGCCTTTTGGCAAGGCACTCCACACATTCACACTCAAGCCTGGCGTATTAAGCCTGGTTTCCATAAAGTTGCTACGCTGTCGCTACGCAGTGCTTTCACTTCAATCGTTACACTGCGTTACTGTCCCTGACACAATTGGAGACCCTCCCTGATTAAAACTGTAATGCAACATTATGAAATATTCCCCCATTTACAATCATCCATTTGCCTTGAATCACCCTTCTAGCCTCATCCCTATTCCTTTAATTACTCTTCTAGCCCCATTCCCTATTCCTTGAATCACCCTTTTAGTCCCATCCCCTATTTCTTGAATCACCCTTCTAGCTCCATTCCCTATTCCTAGCATCCAATACTGTACCAAGATATGGGTGTACAGACCACTTCCTTGATAAAACAAGTTTTATATTGTTAAAAATACACTTTCAACATAATCACTCACAAAAAATAATAAGACAACATAAAACAATTAATGCTTGACAAGAAGCAATATTAACAAAGTCGGTCAACCATATCCTTTTACTCTGTTCAAGAGAAGCCATCTTATGTAATGTCTTGGAGAAATTGATTATATCATGTGCATGATGATGTCACATTTGTCACATATACTATAATGTTGACAAAACTTTAATATAATTTATACATTTTTTAAAATATAGCAACATATACATTTTAACACCTACTGTGTAGGTGGTGATGCAAATAGTATAGTTACTAGTAAATATTTAAGATAAACATTTACCTTGCAACAACGTGTACATTTGTTCCATCTTCAACATCTCCATCCTCTAGTTGTGAGGTTGCAGAATTCAGAGTACTCCTTCACAAAGCAAAAATATAAATTATAAAAGAGTACATAATGTAGTAGGGGACCACACCTACTCATGTTTGCAAATTATTTCCACTAAGTGGGTTTATAATTAACAGTAAAAACAAATTAATTTTTCATTAGTTCTGCATTCTCAAGTTGAAAAAAAGAAACACACAAAAAAAAAAAGCCTACTCCCCTGACCTAATCCGCTATTTTGTCTATTCTGTACTGTACTACTGTATAGTGTAAATGAATGCATTTAATACAATACAAAATGAACTGAATATACTACATTATTGAATTTTTCCTAACTGTATGAGATATGTTCTATAGGAATTTTCCAATTACAGAAATCTACCTGTATAACAACGGGCTTAACAAACTGTATATTTTATGTCTGACATAGGATTTTAATTACTACTGACGTTGCTATGACTATGTCAATAAATCAACACAGTAAGGTTGTGATGCACAGTATTGCATGTTCACTTACACGGAAGGAGTGAATGTTAGGAATAAATTCACTGACCACTTTGGAAAAAGATTAACAGTTATCCCTCAGCGACTTTTGATCGCAAACCTGGTGTAATAGACCTTCTGTTAAGTTCCGTCCCTTGAATATTGTTGCTAAGTTCAAAAAAAACCTCCCTCCCTACCATGAAATTTGATACCAAAAGGATGCTAACCAATTATTTTTTTTTACTTGGCCTTACTAGTAAATATTTAAGATAAACATTTACCTTGCAACAACGTGTACATTTGTTCCATCTTCAACATCTCCATCCTCTAGTTGTGAGGTTGCAGAATTCAGAGTGCTCCTTCACAAAGCAAAAATATAAATTATAAAAGAGTACATAATGTAGTAGGGGACCACACCTACTCATGTTTGCAAATTATTTCCACTAAGTGGGTTTATAATTAACAGTAAAAACAAATTAATTTTTCATTAGTTCTGCATTCTCAAGTTGAAAAAAAGAAACACACAAAAAAAAAAAGCCTACTCCCCTGACCTAATCCGCTATTTTGTCTATTCTGTACTGTACTACTGTATAGTGTAAATGAATGCATTTAATACAATACAAAATGAACTGAATATACTACATTATTGAATTTTTCCTAACTGTATGAGATATGTTCTATAGGAATTTTCCAATTACAGAAATCTACCTGTATAACAACGGGCTTAACAAACTGTATATTTTATGTCTGACATAGGATTTTAATTACTACTGACGTTGCTATGACTATGTCAATAAATCAACACAGTAAGGTTGTGATGCACAGTATTGCATGTTCACTTACACGGAAGGAGTGAATGTTAGGAATAAATTCACTGACCACTTTGGAAAAAGATTAACAGTTATCCCTCAGCGACTTTTGATCGCAAACCTGGTGTAATAGACCTTCTGTTAAGTTCCGTCCCTTGAATATTGTTGCTAAGTTCCCTCAAAATGACAGTGTAAAAACAATCGCAAACATGCGTGTTTGTAGGACAACATGTGTGCTTGTTAGAAACGTGCGTATTCAGGTGCTGTTTTGATTGGTCAGATGTTAAGGTTCACTGACACTCTGGAAAGGTCCATTATGTACATTTTGGTAGAGCTCCATAGATGCGTTCATGCAAATTGCTGTACATTCCTTTTCAAATGACACATAATGTACAGTGCCAACCGATATTCATGCATTCGAGGGAAGGAAATTCTTAGCCAGCTGGCCTAATTAGGGTCTAAGCAGAGGGTGGGCATAAAAATGGGACAGTGGACCAATCATTTAAATTCAATTTTTAGACTATTTAATTAAATAATTTATAATGAAAAAAAAAAACAATTTTGGTCCAACAATTCATGGTAGACAGGGGAATCCCTATCCAATTCCAAAAACTCTCTACCCTCTGCTGCCGCAGCTGTTACTGTAGTTTCTAAAATAGGCCTAGCCATAGCCATTTGGTAATTGATGTTTAAACGTCTTGTAATTTGTATTTATTTTTATAATCCTCTTTAGAAAAGGAACATTGCCTAATGTCTAGTCATACTGAAAACCTACCGTATCGAACCATCTATTGAAATTCCGGATAAAGTTGAACTTGTTGTTCTATGTACAAGTTTTTTCTCATGTCCTTGTCTGCTTGAGCTTGTACTATCTACATATGCATTTGTTCCAAATAACTCATCTTCTTTTGACGGTGATGATGAGGTGTCTCCAAAATTAGAGTCATCTAAGCTTTCTAATCCACGGTATTTGTCAGGAAAGTCTTTCAACATCATGAATAAAGTTTATTTCCAGTTACTTTATGTAGCCATCATTTTGATTTAAGTAGTTAGTATGTATTTACCAAAGGAAAAAAAAAACAGCAATACTTTGGCTTCCACACCTTTTCGATTACAATGAAAAATCTAAGTCATGTGCTAACGCACTTAAGGCACGACTGAAAAGCGTCCCGTTGCTAACGAAGACAACAGCCTTCGTTTGTGGTTTTCAAAATCGATGTTGGGGACATCTTCACCCACATAGCTGAGGATCGTAACAAGGCATTGAAAACAACTGTTATTGAATCGATTTGGTCAGACCTTACAGTCACTTTACTTTCATGAACAACAGACTGACTGGGCCTAGTGGTGATCAGTAGCAACGAAGAGTACAACCAACCGTGAATATCTCCCCTAGCAAGCTGTATTCAAATCCTCTTCTTTCAAGCGCAGAAATACTAATATCCTTCCCTCCTATTCATCATCGACAGACAGCCTGCACGCTGCAATGAAGCGAGCTGAACAAGAACCGGCAGAAAATGACACCGTAATCGTTTCGTTCAATTAATAAAAAGTCATTAGATTACTATTAAAATTACTCCAACCACACAATAGTTGATTCAAAATATTCTTGAAATAAAAAATATAGTACAATTTCAAATTTGACACTTAGAAATTGACACAAAACTCGGCTAGCATACATTCCGTTCAGCCGTAATGAGCGCCCGTTCTATTTGGATATTTCTATTCTATACTGTGTGTACTGCCTACCGATACTAACGTAAGGCAACCATTTTATGTTATGTAAACTATATTTCATTAGATTTATTTGCCCTAATAGCATTATTTCTAATTCAGACACACGTTTTTGAACAAATGAATTAGTGTCCAGTTGTTCAAGGATAAATATATGTAAAAAAGAGCTTAAAGAATCCCTATAACAAAATGGACGATGCCAAACTAATTGAGTTCGCTACCGACGCTGGTAATAAAGTCGTTTGTTGTTTCGTACGCTTCATAATTTTTCTAAATTCCAAGAAATAGCAGGAAAAGTAGAAATAAACATAAAAAACGATAAAGGGGAGTAATATGCTGCACTACTAAACAGGAATATAAAATGTATTTTACAAACTTTTTACTATTTACAAACTGTTTTATTTCGTACGAAAATTCTAATTAAATTGACTTCGAGCCAATTAACATTTAAAAAGTTCAATACATAGAATATTGAACAGTAATATTTATGGGTAATATTTTCAATTCAAATCTAACTTATAATTAAAATATTGAATTTTACTCGCTGAAGGCCTAGTCAATATTTCAATGTTTGTTATTATTAATGTAGGCCTATGCCAATTACCATGTTACAAACAAATTAATGTTGAACTAACATTTTCTTTTTTGAGAATAGATTTCAGGCAAGCAACTGTGAACTTTTACATTACATGTCCTAACCGGTGTGGGTACAAAAGTGTGGTATTCGCAGAGTGACTCTTAATACAAAATCTTTGGTTCTTGGTTACCACCATAACTTTAGTATGTTTTACATTTATTGTTCTGTTTGCGAATATTATTATTCAACCAGGAGGCTAGTTATAAAAAAATTATTGTCACAGAATAAATACGGCAAGTCGAGTTGAAAAGAGTTATTCATTCTTATTTGTTCTGATTAAAATTAAAAGTTGATGACAAACATTAATAGTATCGACCTATAATTTACAGCTCCGTTTAGTTTATGGTATTTTCATCAACCGTTTTTATTCTGTAACTCTGTTTGTTTTGTTTAATGTGAGTTTTGTGTATGCTACTGCCGTATACCTATAACCAGTAGCTTCTTCCAACATGGTTTGATTATTAAATAAAAAGACAATGACTTTCCATGCTTTCTTGGATAGAAGGTCAGTGCATGCACCAGATTTGCACAAATTTAAAGCGGCATCATTTTAGTAGTCTTTTTTTTTTACTAGTTTTATGGACACAGTATATAATGTGAATTTTAAAAAGCCTCCCCCAAAAAACTAATATACAATTACTTACTTGGAATCTGTCGAGTGTATAGATATACTGCTTGATCCAGAGGCTCGTCTCTCAAAATTTCCTTTATTTGTAGCTTCCTGAGATGTTCTTATTTCCATCGCGGGCATCGCCACCATAATTCACTTCAATAAAAGTAACATAAATGACAATTTTGTTCCTGAAGACAACGCTGGTAAATGGAAGGCGTTGCTTTTGCTAATAGGTAGGACTGGAAACAAACGACAAAGAAAATGGAGAAAAGAAGAAGATTTAAAGTGCAACGATCAAGCAAGCATCATAGTTGGTGACTTTATCATCTGGAACTTAATTCATAAATGTGACTAAATTGACGTGGTGATTTTTCATCCATAAGTCGGAACAAACACGCTTGTATATCCACTGGACGAATATTATACATGTGTTTACTTTAATAACAGTTTTTCAAAAGAAATTAACTTCAATTCAGGTGAACCTACAATTCTGAGCTTTCATCGATTAGGATCTTTAAAAATAATCCAGTGCAGATGAGCCGCCGTTGCAAAATAAACACATTCAATAGAATACCAGGCCTATTTATTCGACGACCCAATGCTCTTATTCACACACAGGAAACGTCACCTCGAGCTACAGTTATTCTCTTATGACAACTGTGTGCTTTTTGGTAAGTTTCATAGGTGTTTCTTTGAGAGCCTTTTTAATCTCACAACCGTATCCAGTGCATCATTCTCGACATGTCTTGATAAACTAAAACAAGAGGGAAAATGATAAATAAGCTTATATTACAATTTCACTACAGTCAATAAACTTACAGACCACCTGCAGCGTCATTTTGTAAATAAAATATCTCTTCGATTATAAATGCTAATGCGATAGAATTATTATCTTTGTGAGAAAGATAATTTAGAGAGTAATGACTATTTACGTAGACACTTGGAAACGAAAACATTTTGGATAATAGAGGGCGCTATTTACAATAAATTTTCAAACATGACGAATTGCGAATTGCCATGACGTCTGGAAATCTGAAAATAATGTTTAATTTGTTTGATTAAAACACTGAAAAGCTCTCTTTAAGATATTAACCTCTAATGATACACATCACTCATGGTAAAATCATACTGGGACAAAACCTATTGTGTTTGAAAATAACGTAACATCACTGTATAATTTGTAGGCCCTATAATTTATCAATTTGACCAACAAAACAGCCGGTTTTCGTGGTCCAAATTGAAGCGGGTCCAATCTAATTCCATAGGCTTTGATTGACATGACAAGCTTGATTGTGTTGTAAAAATGTTGTAAGACAAAAAATCAAACTCATCGATTCACAATCATCAGACTCGAGAGCTTTAAAAACGCTTAACAATTATAGGTAGTATCATAACTTGAGAACGTTTTTATACGTACCACCTCAATAAAATCGGACCAGCTTATAGTGACGCTGTGACACGCTATGACCCCCTCCCCCCTTCCCAAAAAAAACACACAAAAACAAAAAACAAAAAAAACAACCAAACAAACAAACAAAAACATTCCGGTTTAGGCATTTTTGCAGCGTTTCGCCGGTCTGTGGGGTACTTTTTCTGAAAAATGGTCATTTTTAAGAGGATCTTTATAAAACCTTCAGAGTGGGGGAGATTATATTTTTCGTATACAGAGGTCAAAAGTCATTTCAAAAAGAACTTAGAACTTTTCTTTGAATAAATCTGGCTGGGCCTGGAACCATCCCTGATGGGACTGTGATGCTTGAGGTTGAATTGTAAATGTAATATAATGGCAAATAAATGAGACTCGTATACACCAGTACTGTTAATATCTCTCTGTCCATTTATTCTACCTCCTCACATGTGCCCTCTCTACATCCCCTAATGATAAAAACGTTTCCAGGAACTTTCTGTCCCAATTAGCAAATTACACAGTACTACATCTCCCCCTTTCCGGATTTAAAACTCATGTATACCTTACCCAAACAACTAAAACAACTATAAAATCCATAAACAATAACATATTTCAACAACCTGTGAGTGACCAACTCACTACACCTATGAACCTCGCCATACAAGCTTATATTTGCTCTATTAGACGCTGTGGTCGGAACCTTACCCTTCCCGATCTACGGGGTTGTGGGGGAACCACACCAGGTACTTCATAGTCCTGATCTATAATGCCATCATCATCAATACCATTAGGGCTGGTGATTTTAGTTCTGGCGGGCAAGTCAATTTTTTTGAAATGGGAGTAGTTCCGGGTAATTGTTTTTCCATTGGGAAACTTAGCAGTTAACATGTCATGATTCTTCCCAATTATCACCAATGGCGTTTTATTAAAGGGTGAAGTAAACTTGCTAGCTCTAATCTGCTTAACTAAAACTATGTCCCCTGCTTTGATTTTATTCTCCTTGATTTTTCTCTTTTTCTCTGCATTTAACTTAATGTTAATTTTGTTCTTTTGGTCATTCTTCCTTAACAGGTCATCATTTCTCCCCCCCTTGGAAAAAGAAGGGATTTTAACATTAATGTCCCTGCCCAGCAGTATAGTTGCAGGAGCATAGCCAGTTGTGGAATGAGGGGTTGCCCTGTAATTGCGGAGAAATGCAACCATGTCCTGTTTCCAATGATTGGAGGTGAGCAGGACTTTCCGGAAAGTACGCATGAACCTCTCTACCTCCCCGTTAGCCTCGGGCCAGAGTGGGGTAACCTTTCTGTGTTTAAATCCGAGATGTTTTGCAAATTTAGCAAAGTTGTCACTGTTAAAGGGTGGACCGTTATCCGTCTTTACCACTTTAGGAATACCAAACATGCCGAACACTTTATCTAGGTTAGGGATGATAGCAGCAGCAGAGGTGGACGAGACCACCTCTACAACCGGGTACCGTGAATAGTCGTCAATAATTACCATAACATAATCATTACCTACATGACCGAAATCAATGCTTAAGTTTTCCCAGGGACCATTCGGGAGATCAGTCATTTTGAGGGGTGCACGCACTGTCTGAGGTGTTGCTGCCTGGCATAGAATACACTCCTTAACTACCACCTCACAAAGCTTGTCAAGCTTAGGGAACCACACCTTTGACCTGAGAAGTTTCTTTGTCTTGGCCTCCCCTTGGTGACCCTCATGTGCAAGATCTACCATTTTACCTTGTAGGGCATTAGGGACTACAATCAAAGATCCCCTAAGCAACAATTTATCATTAACACTGGTCAACTCATGCTTTACATTTTGAAATTGTTGGAGATTACTTAAATCTACATCACTAACACCTTCAGCCTCCCGTAAATCCCATTTGCCAGTTGATAAAAAGTTAAAGACGCATTGCAGTGTGTGATCGCTTTTCGTAGCCTCCTCAATTTCTGCTAGGGATATGGCATTTGGTGTGGATGTTGCAGCACACATATTTACAAAAGCATTGGCACTTTTGGATACAACGTTATCGTTACAACCATCATCCACAGCATGGCGAGACATATAGTCTGCCGGGTTGTCTGCACCTTTTTGGTAGCAGACAGTAAATGTGAAAGTTTGCAAACGGAGGAGCCAATTGGCAATGCGCAAAGACGGCTTAGACCTGGGGTTATTAAAGAGGCTGACAAGCGGTTTGTGATCAGTGAACACTCGAAAAGGTTTGCCAATTAGCTGTCTCTTATACACATCTAGATGTGTATAAGAGACAGGATCTATTGTTTATTTTTTTATGATTTTTTGGCCATTACAAATATATATTGATCATTTTAAATGTAATGTTTCTTGTATGGCAGATAATAGCCGACTGATGGCTTTTGGATCAAATAAAAATTTAATTAAAAGATTAGACTTTAGAAGATAGCTTAGGCTACATAATAAAGGCTAGGCCTACTTGGCGACCGTTTCGAATGCGATATATGGAACGCAATCGATTAATTGAATAACTTAAATATTATATAAAGTACCATAAATAAATGCTGGAATAAGCGCCGTGTCTAATAAAATTTTTCAAGGCTTCAGCGCGGCGCTTATTTGAGAGCAGCGCTTACTACTGTATTATAAAAACATATTGCCGTGCCTGTTCCCGTGTTACCTATTTCACATACTCCCGTAGCTTAACAAAAAACATCATGTTTGGTGTGCTGCTTATTCGACAGCTGCGTTTATTTGAGAGCGGCGCCTATTCGAACATTTATGGTTCCTCAGATACATATGGGCTGATCTTTAATTGGTGGCCAGACCAGTTTCCTTTTTCAAGACCAAACTTAAAAGCATTTAATCTTTTTGCAGACAGAACATAATTTGGTAGCCGCATGCTAGTCATTTACTGCTGTAACTGAAAAATATCTTTTTCTAACATTACTTTGGTCTAAAAGTTTATATTCGTGTCCTAGTTATTCTGAATTGGGCATTCAAAAATATTGCTTGAATCAGTGGTCTCAAAATCATGTAATATCTTATGCATCTGAACTAGATCAACTCTCTTTCTTCTACAATGTAGGTAGATTTTTAGTCTATCTACATATTTATTATGTTTCATTTCCCTTACTTATCTTGTAGATTTCTTTTGTACCTTTTCTAACAAATCACTATCATTTTTATATAAACTACCCCTGTACTCAAGCGAGGGTCTTACCATAGATTTATAGAGAGACATATAACCATTTTTATCAAGGTGTTTAAATGACCGAATAATTAAACCAAGCTTCCTACTGATCGAGCAATATTTACAGCATGTGCAAAAAAAACCATCTTTGAATCAAATAATATACCCAAGTCTTTTTCTTCGAAAGTACAATCTATTTTAACTCTGGAAATGCCATCACCAATAAAATACTCAAAAAGCTGGTTATGAGTGCATAACTTTACATTTTGTCAAATTAAATGGCAATTGCCAGTCAGTTGACCACATAACAAATTACCAATATCAGCTTGTAAAACATCCCTATTAGAATTTGAATTGACTATTCTATATAACTTTGTATCATCAGCAAAAGTTTTTATACATGAATGCAAAACAACATCAGGCAAGTCATTTATAAAGGTTATCTAGTTTGATATAGAGAGCTCTAAAACCTAATTTTCCACAAAAATTGCATGGAAATCCGCAATTAGGCCAACAAAAGAAAAATTCTTGTTTTGGCCAAGTTTTGGGAAAATAAATATGTGTTTATGCCTAGAAAAAGTAAAAGTAGAAAAAACACAAAAATACTTGAACAAAGACCATTTTTAAATCTATATTGAAGAGTAACGCTGTCACATGGCCTAACATCCAGCAAGATAGGCCTATTCTAGTCTTGTTAACTTATTAAAAAGAACATTTTTCATTGTAATCAAAAGAAATAAAATAAAATGCTGAACCTAAATTTCAAACATTTTGGGTCGGTCGGGCGTGGCCAACACAATAATTTTTAAAATTTCCCTCATTTTCTAAATTTCAAACCTTATTTTTGTGTCTGCTCTAGTAGAAAATGCACAGATAAAAATAGAGGAGAATGAAGATTACCTCTTAATAGCATGCAATTCCAGTAAATAAGAAATGCTATTGAAACAATAATATAAAGTAGTAAAAAAGGATGTGGGCAGTAAGAAAAGAAATTCTTTTTTAGGCCTTGCACAATATTGTATGTAATGTTAATTAATGTTAATTTTTTTAGGATGTGTTCCTGACAGTTCGTCGTAAAAAGACTACCATATTTCTAGATGCCAAAGAATCTAATACTGTTTATGACTTGAAACACATGATTGAAGGTATAACAAAGCATAGCCCGGAGGATCAGAGACTATTCAAGAATGGAGAGCCTCTCGAAGATACAAAGACATTAGGGGACTGTGGCTTCACAAACCAAAATGCTAAGGCACAGTCTCCAGCTCAAGTCGGTTTAGCTTTCAAATTGGATGGTAAGTTGGTTAAAAAAAACATTGCTTAAAAATGTAACTAACCCGCAAGTTTGATTACTGGTACATAATATTTAAAATTGGACTCCGGAGGAAAAAACATTTTACTAGTATTAAAATTGTTCAGTTTTACTTGTATTAATCTTAGTATCACAGCCTTGTGGAAGAACACCTTCAGGTGATACAAGCTTTTAAACAAAGCCTTTATTATTATTATTATTATTATTATTATTATATTGACCAGTAAAATAGGTAGCCCATTTCTTGATGTGGCTGCTGCCGCACCCTGTTTTTTTTAAATAATTTTATAAAAGCGCACATCCCAGGGAATAATTTTTGTTTATTTATGTTGATGTAACAGGTGAAGATGAATTTGAAGACCTAGACATCATCGAATACTCCTCTCCACCAGAGCTACCGGACGTTATGAAACCAACCGATTCCAGCACAAGCACAGCTGGAGAACAGCAATCCTCATAGGTCAACTCCTGTCTCTTATACACATCTAGATGTGTATAAGAGACAGATGTTTGTAGTGCATGATGACCTACAGACCTCATTGGTGATAGGAGGCATCCTGGAACTGGAATCACTGTCCATACTTTATTGGTTTTATTAATCAATACAAAGATAAGTTTTTGCATGCTTTGTAATTCTGTTTTGTACATGGTAACGATGGTGGCGCTGTTGCTAGGCAATCCTTGAGAAACAAGTCATATCCAGCGTCTAAACTTCTCTAAAAGTTGATAAAAAAAAATTATATTGAAAGGTAAGTCTAAATTGGACATGTCTTTCAATTGAGGTATTACCATATTACATTTTGTTAAATTTATATGCGTGTTTACTTGTAACTGATGCTTTATTTTTTCTAGGCTCACGACTTCTCCAACCGCCAAGTCCAAGGAATTGATCAATTGATAATTCAGGCTGACACAAGCGTTTCAAGCACCCCGAGATAGTGATAATACGTTGGCCTAAAATAGAAACGAAAGTTTAACCGTGATGGTTGGTTTTTATTACTTTTATTTTAAAATGAGAAAATGTACATCTGACTTATAATACGTATGACCTCTGTAGGCCTATGATATGCCTACTTTATTTACGTTTGCTGTATCTGAATTCAAGGATATACAGTATTATTAGGGAGCTTTGATTTGAGTGACGGCATGGACGTAGGAAAACAATGATTGGCCAACTTAATGTGCATAGTAGAAAACAGATACTGATTGGCTAACATATGTGCATAGGCATAGTAAAAACAGCCAATGATTGGCCATTTTATGTGCATAGGCCTATTAAAAACAGCCATTGATTGGCCAGCTTAACATGCATAATAGAAAACAGCTACTGATTGGCCAACTTGCATGTGTAGGCCTAGTATAAATAGCCAATGATCAGCCAACCCAGCTGATTGTTCAACTTGTGTGCGTAGGCCTAGTAAAAACAGCCAATGATTTGCAAACATCTGTTCATGCAGTACTTATAAACATTTCAATTTACCCCACCATAATTTCATGACGTGTTTTTAATTAGTGTTTTTTTTTAGCATCATCCTCTGATGTTATATATTGCTTTATTAATATCAAGTTGTTTTTATATATTTAATGTTAATGTTTCCATAAGAGTAATAAATTCATGACACAAAATAAGCATACACGTGTTATGATTCTTTCAATTAAAAGGCTCACTTTGAGGTTTTCCCTCTTATTTTATTATCCCATATTCTTTAATGGTATAATATTACTACATATGAATTTTCTGGCAAGACAGGACACACATAAGCTCTATTACAGTGTATATATACACAGTATATTATAGTAGTGGTGGGTATTTGAATATTTATTCATCTTCAATGATTCTGAACAAAACCACAGCTTAACAAATAGCACACAGAAAAAGGGGCTTTTCAAATGTGTACTATACATTAAAGATCTTATACCAATGTATGAGGCAAACATGCTGATAAATATTCTGGAGCCCTTTAAGGCCTAGTGCTTCTGGTTTTAGACAGTGAAAGCTCACAGTGGTTACACCACTAATAATAATTTTCAAATAATTTCACTTCATGCTCTTAAAATGCATTGGTCATTTTTCTGTTCTAACAAATATATATAATTTTGTTTTTATTATTCAGCGACATAATATCTTATACCTAACATTTAAGAGTAGAGAACAATATGTGAGTACACTCTGCTTGACAATGCACCACGCCCATTAGTTACTCAATCAAAGAGGGCCAGCTGAAGCTGATATAGAAGCCTTGCACTCTTGATTTTGTGGAGATTAAATTACACAAATAGGAAAGTACAAGGTCACAAAAAAATTACAAGTGTAAAGGCATATATGCGTTTGTGGGACAGCACGTGTGTTCCTAGAACCAATGCTGTAGCCAGGATTTTCAAACAGTGCAGGACAATATCAGGGTGGACCCACGTTACGTGTAAATTCAAATAATTTGGACACATTTTCTTAAAGGTTGACCCATTTTACGCAAAAAAAATATAAATCCATTGTCCTAAAAGTTCACTAATTTTTAGCATAAAACAACATAATTTAGACCCATTTTAAAAAATGTTGACCCATTCTTTGTGGACAAAATAGAAAATTGTGTGGGACTGTCTCAACGGTTCCAATAGCTGGTTACAGCATTGCTAGGAACATTCCTGGCACCTTTCTGATTGGTTAGTTGTTCAGTTGACACTCTGAAAAGGTTTATTAGTTGGGGTAGTTTTAAAAAGTTTTACAGTCTGAAAGTTGAAAGTGCCCTTTCTTAAAATTTGCTCCAAACACAGTGGGCTAAGATTTAATTTTAGCCCCTGTCGAGGAACAAGTTAATTAGCTTGGTAAAGACAATGTGCTGTACTTTTATTACAGTATTTTATACAAAGTTATTTCCAACATTGAAGTTAATTTGTCAAGTTATTAACACAACAAGGCAGTATATTTAAATAACAGATTCATAATCTGTGTTACATGCTTCTTTCTAATTTTTTAACTTATAATTATATCGTAATGTGCACCATTCTTACATTTATATATATTTATTATGCAACTTGAGTAAATATATATATATATATATATA